CACACACACACAGAGAGGAACTTTAAAACTGTCCACGACAGCTATCTTTAGTCAAACCACAAACCATTATATATACCCTATTGAAAAATCAAGTCCAGGGCCAGGGATTTAGCTCAGTGGTGCCACCGCCTGCCTTGCAAGTGCAAGGTACCGAGTTTGATCCCCAATACAAAAAAAAAAAAAAAAAATCAAGTCTAAGATAGTCATGCTGGTGAATACCTATAATTCAAACACTATGGGAGGTTGAGGCAAGAGGGACACAAGTTGGAGCCAGCCTGGGCAATTTAGTGATTTAATGAGACCCTATCTCAAAAAGTTAAAAAAAAAGGATTAGCTCAATATGAAGGCCCTGGGTTCAGTCTCCACCAATTGGGAAAAAAAAAAAAAAATCCAAGTGACCTTAGTCTGTGCTTGATGACCTGCAAGGAATGAGACAGGGTGAGACACAGACACTGGGAATTAAGAAGTGAGGCACCCACAAAATGGTAAGGTAACCACTGCTAGCCAAAGTACCATAAGTGCTATCAATCAATTTATTGAATTTTTATTATCTTGAAATCTGGCTTTCTATATGGAGAGTTTTGGATCCAATCTGCCAAGTCTAAACAAATTTGATTCATTCAACAAATGTAACACAAAAATGCCATAGTTAAGGCCAAAATAATCTTGTGACGTGTGCCTCCTTAGATGCCTGAGAGGCAAATAAAAACAAAGTATCATCCAGGCCAAAGCTCTGAAATTTTTTAAATTTTCTGAAGAGGAAAACTAGCAAAGTGCAAGAACATTCTTGAGGCTACTTTTAAAGGCTACTTCTGTATAGGTACAGAAGAATTATGAAAATCTGTCATGAGTAGAAACATTTGATCATCACAGGGTTAAAACATAACAAGTTACAAAATCATCAGATATGGTCCCCATCAACCATTATCCAAAGGCAAATCTGAGTTATGATATCACAGTAATAAAACCTTTATGTTATTTTTTGAGACAGGGTTTCATTCTGTAGTTCAAACTGGCCTTGAACTCTTGGTGAATCTCCTGCCTCAGCCTTCTGAGTGCTGGGATTATAGGCATGTATCACCATGCTCAGCAATAAAACCTTTTATTAACTTGCTTTAATAAAAGCTTTTATTAACTTGTCTCAACAGCTAAAACTAACAACCAGAATTTTGGAAATCATTAATATCCAAATTTTAATCTCTACTTTCTCTTTAACTATTTCATTAAGACATGAAAAAGAAAAAGATCATGAGGAAAGTATGTAATACTTGTACAGGCTCATTTCTGCTCTTTGTTTGTTTGTTTGTTTTGGTATTGGGGATCAAACTTGGTTCCTTGCACTTGCAAAGCAGGCAGCGGAACCACTGAGCTAAATCCCCGGCCCAAAAGGCTCATATTTGTATGGACAGTATTTTGGGTATCAAAACTCAGGCCCCCTGCTCTGGCAAGTACTTGCTTACAAGGTGAACAGGACACCAAGCCACAAGCACATCTAGAATAGTGGATGCCAAATCCACTGCAAAGTAGGTCTACAAACCATCAAATCATGGTCCTAAGTTATGGTCATGAGAAGAAAGTGTGCTCTAAATCTTCTCCAGTGTTTCAACAAATTCCCTGTAATTGTTAACAGTTCTGGGGAGAGGGCCCAGGGAGGAAATAAAAAAAGAATAATAACCATACACTTTTGAAAAAACATGAGTAAAACAAAATACACACAATGCTATCCAAGTACTCAGCATTTTTTTAAAAAGATTCTGTGTTAAAAGAAAATAGTGAGAGGTCGGGGGTGGTGGCACAGACCTGTAATCCCAGCACTTGGGAAGCTGAGGCAGGAGGATCGCTGTGAGTTCGAGACCAGCCTGGACTACATAGTGAGTTCCAGGTCAGTCTCAATTACATAGTGAGACCCTGTCTCAAAAAACACAAAAAAAATAAAAAGGGAAATAGTGGGCCAGGGATTTAGCTCAATGGTTCTGCCACCCGCCTTGCAAGTGCAAGGTCCTAAATTCAATGCCCAGTACTTAAAAAAAAAAAAAAAGGAAATGGTGAAAAGAGACAAATACTTATAACTTCTGAAAACTTTTTCATTGCTTTCTGGTGAAAGTGTGTCATGTGTCATATGGAAGAAATAAAGACTTGCCATTATAAATGTAATGTCTTCATTTGAGGGGAAAAAAAAGAGTACAATCTTAGCATTATTCATAACACAAAGCACAAAACCACATTTCTCACCTGATCTTTGGAAAAAGCTTTGACATGAATATGTTTGACAGTCTGAACTACTCCATCATAAAATTTCACAGTGTAAGTACCTAAAATTCAAGAAGATATCATGATTTTTAACTCACAGTTTCATGAATGCAGCAACTTTTCAAAGTATAAACACAAGGGAAATCTAACCACATAATAAATATATAAGTTAAAAATTTGTTTTAAGGAACATATACAGGGCTAAGATGCAGCACAGTAGTAGAGCACCTGCTCAGCATGTGTGAGGTTCTGAGTCTGACATCAGGTACCAAAAAAACCCCAAAAAAATCAAATTTCAAATTCAGTCATCTTATGCCCAAGTTTACAGTATGTTTGCCTTAATTTCTTAGTAAAGATTATAGTTTCCTTTTTATCTATGTAACTCAAAATCCATCCAAAAAACTCCTATGATGCGTCATTAAAATAAAAATAATGTGTACTTAATTTAGGTCAAGATCAAAGCGCAATAAAACAATTAAGAACATTATGGAAAATCAGGCATGGTAGCACATCCCTGTAATCCCAGCACTGGGGAAGCTAAAGCAGGAGGACTGTTGAAGTTTAAGGCCAGCCTCAGCTGCACAGTAAATGGTAGAGTACCCTGGAGTGCAAAGCAAGACCCTGTCTCAAAAATGGAAAACAAAAAGCTGGGCATGGTGGTACACATTTGTAATCCCAGCACTCAGGAGGCTGAAGCAGGAGGATCACCTTGAGTTTGAGACCAGCCTGGGCTAAGCAGTGAATTCAAGGACAGCCTGAACAACACAGGGAGACCCTGTCTC